TGGGGCACATGATAGCATTCCAGAATCCACCTCCTGCTCTATCTATAACGGACTATAGTGAGACCTCAGTTACTACCATTCTATAACAATCAATCTTCACTTCTGTTTTTTCCTTCATTATCTGACCCACAGCAGGCCTGGTCATGGTCCACTACTGAAATATAGGTGTATTTTCATGACTCACAAGAAAGAGGTTCTCTATGCTATTTCTGAAAAGACATTCTATTATCCTTTATACAGAAACAACAAGTTTGATGAGGGGTTACTGACATACTAAAATGTAACTATATCCAAATTACAAATATATTTTTGATAGAACTGAGGCATACTTTGTTTTCATTTACCATGTCATATTATATTTCTTACTATATTTTTTACTCCAAAGACTCAGGGTATTTTGTTTGATCAACATGAATGAATTTTATTGTGAAACTACTATGTAGCAGGCACTAGAAAATGTGGGGCTTCAAAAATGAGTTCTTTATGGAATTTACTTAAAATTGTCAATAATAAAATTCTTTTACTAATTTAAGATTTAGATAAGACTTTGGCCACACTTTCTTCCTCTCATATATCACTGCCTTTTTGGTCCCGTTATGTCAAAGTAAGAAAATAAGTGCCCAGATTTACCAAAGTGGATTAGATACCACCACGTAACACAACCCAAACTTCCTAAGAAAAACTAGCTAATATGAACCTAAGAGAATCTTGCACAGAGCCAGCAGTTATTATTACAAAGAACGCATCCAAAAAGGATTGGAAAATCAGAGACAGATAATAACAAGTCTGCCAAACCAAAGGCAAATATTGTTAGAGGGAAGATTTGCATTGCTGATTTAACCAAACACACACTTGTAGCTCTAAGGATTCATGGAACCTAATTAACCTGCTTATCAAGAAGGCTGCTTTCCCAATACAATTTAAAGCACTTCATCAGGAGCTACTTTTTTTTTTTTTTAATTAAGCAGAATTCAAGTCAGGTATATTCCTAAATTGCTAGCAGTTGCCAAGTAAAAACACAGTTAGGAGCACAGCAGGATTTTAACTATTGAACTGCCTCAAAGTTTCTGATTTCCATCATCAGTGGAGGTTCAGCCCAACACCACAGGTAAGAGCTACCTTTAGAGAGGAAATCTACACATGGCCTACGGCAGTGCTGCCAGACTTTTCCACCAAAGCTCTCCTAACTAAGGGGTGGGAAGTCCTAGCCCTGACGATCTACAAACATTCTGAGGTCTCAAGGTTTATCTTTAAAATCTCCACAATTCATGTAATTTCATTGCGATGTAATGTATTTCCAAGTTTATTTTAATATAACCAACACTTACTGAATACTACTTGCTAAGAATTTTACATAAATTACCTTACTTCTCACAATAATAGGCCCTATTTCTATCACTATTTTGTAGTGAGGAAACTTCACCACAGAAAAATAAAGCAATATATATATATTTTTGCGGTGCACGGGCCTCTCACTGTTGTGGCCTCTCCCGTTGCGGAGCACAGGCTCCGGACGTGCAGGCTCAGCAGCCATGGCTCACGGGCCCAGCCACTCCGCGGCATGTGGGATCTTCCCGGACTGGGGCACAAACCCCCGTTCCCTGCATCGCCAGGTGGACTCTCAACCACTGTGCCACCTGGGAAGCCCTAAGCAATGTTCTTAAGCTTATGAAATGGAGATGGGATTTAAGCCACACAAGTTTCTATTTGTTCTTCTCCAGTATATTACACTACACTGTTTTAAATCACTTTTCAGTTAAATGAGTTAACTCTTCCTCCTCTAGTTGCTTAAGTCAGAGGTCAGCAAACCTTTTCTGTAAAGGGCCACGTAATACATTTGATAGGCTTTGTGGACCATATATGGTCTTTGCTGGCTACTACAACTCAGTTCTTCCACTGTAGTGTCACAGCAGCCATACACGATCCTTAAACGAATGACGTGGCTGTATTCCAGTAAAATTATATTTACTGAAACAGGTGGCAGGCAGGTTTGGGCGATAGCTTGTAAACTCTTAATGTAAGTAAAATTCCTGTTCCAGACTGAATGCATATTTATCTTGTGGTTTTGTATAATTGCCTCTACTAGTTTGAGAACAGGTCATAAGAAAACATTTAAAAAAAAAAAAGAAGAAGCCAATGCCAAAAGGTAAGGAAAAGAGATTTGACTTTTCTATCTATCCTTTACCAACTAATTGAATGATGACGACAGGGAACCTATATGTTCCTTCCCCTATTCCCTCAGCCATGGGTCCTCTGCTTCCACTGGGCCCAGGGACATTTCCTCAGCCTCTGGCATCCTGGACAGGCCACAGCGGGTCTTCCCATCACCTGTGACTCTCATCATGTAGGTGGTTGCCCCTTATCTTTCCACCTAATTGGAATCTACCCCTGGAGTCCAGTGAATTTACTAATTATCCCTTCTACATCTTTTATGTCATATCTCTCTGTCTTTGCTCATGTTAGGAAAATTGTCCCTCTCTCTCTGTTCACTGATTCCAATAACTAATTCAAAAAATACTTTACTACATTCCTAGTTCAAAATTCCTAGTCCTTTGATTCACCTCTAAAATATCATTTTTTGAACATGCCAACTATACTTGTGTATTCTGTTTCAACTGTCGACTCACGTATTTCAAACACTACAACACTAATACCATAAAAGAATTAAGAGAATCCCTTAAGAGCTCATTGTCACTGGATAAAACTGGTAACTGGCAAAAGTAGTTAAGATTGATTTTAGAGATTTAGCTTTGTTTTTATGCTCTGAATGATGAGAGTAAAGGGTAACCTTCTCTTTCACACAGAACTGGAAGGTAAAGGTTATTCCATCGTTCGACACTAATGACAGTTTGGGGTATCAAAATAAAGAAGCTGAGGTAGAAAAATGTCATGGGGAGACTGAAATGTCTAAGCGTAATAAAATAATGTACAATAAAATGAATAGGAATGACATTACAAATTCCTGTTAAGAAAGAATGTCATTGATTGGTAAGTGTTTCTTAAATAATTTCGTGAAAAAGAGTAAGATATTCAAATTATTCATGTTTCTTTCATGTTACCAAGATCTTCACTGAGACCACGCAGGAGGAAAAAACTGTCAGGATATGTATGCTCAGGACAGTCTGTTGCTTTCTCATTAGTTTTTCATTGCTGTTCTTTCACTCCTCTTTGGGTTTCGTCACCGTGCTCACGCTGTCTCACTCTTCTCTCTGTTGGTGGCAATAGTGTCCTCTCTATGATTTCCTCACTTCTATTTTAAAGAAAGTTGAAAAGGTCCCCTTATTCAATTTTTTTTTTGTCTTTACCTTGTTGCTGTTCGTGCCTTATTTCTCTCAAGTTGGCTAATAATAATATACAGTTGACCCTTGAACGACACTAGCTTGAACCGCGAGGGTCCTCTCATACTCAGATTTCAATAGTAAATACTATAGCTCTACACCATCCAGGGTTGGTTGAATCCCCGGATGCAGAACCAGGGATATGGAGGAACCAGGGATAAGGAGGGTCAACTATAAGTTACATGTGGGTCTGCACCTCTAAGCCCAGCGGTGTTCAGGGTCAACTGCATTCCAATTTTTAAAAATTGATTTACCAAAAGAGATTCTGAAAATGCTGTTTGAAGAATCTGTCTCTCTTAGGAGAGAATATTATAGACAATATGTAACTTCATTTTTAAGCAAGTATTCAGAGTGGTTTCATTGCTCAAAGTGAGAGTTCAGAGTAAAGAAATACAGTCACCAATGAGGAGTTAATGTCTTTTAAAGAAAATAAATCACACAAAGGATATTCAATAGTTACATCAGTGTGGCAAATGATGCATATTCCACGCACTTCCAGGAAATGCACAATGCACACTCACGCATTAGAGCCTCTGAGAAGGCCTGCGTAAAGAAACGTGTTACATTCAAACAGTACCCCCAAACTTGTCTGACCCTTGAAACTTTTACCCCCAATACCTGTTACCATCCCTTAGAACTATTTCACGGAAAGCTGCCAGAGAAACTTTTGGAGAACTAATTAATAGCTTATTAAATTTAAGAGGCAATTTAAAATTTAGCTACATCCTGATGTATTTCTTCATATTCCTTCTGGAAATTCCTAATACAGTTGAATATATCCATCTAATACTACGGTTGAATACAATTCCTAATTCCTGATTGAATATATCAGCATTGATAGATGCTACAGTGAAAAATAAGAAGTTATTGGACAGTAATGAAAGCAAGCTTGGAACTATTTATCAATGACCACAATAAATTCACAATGATCAGGGTGGAGCCTAGCCCTGCTTTTGCCATTAACTAACAGTGTGACTCTGGAATAGAGATTTAAAGTCTGGGAGCTTTGATTCACTTACATGTAAAGTGGGGCTAGACCTGCTCCATCTACGCAACTGGTACATTCGGAGAACAAAGGGCTCAAGATCAAGACCGAGAAGAATTTCTCATAAACAATGAAGTTTTATAAAAGCAGAGAAAGTTATAAAAGTATAAAAAAGGAATATATCTCAAATAGAGACTCAGTTTCCTTACAGATCCACACTAAATGCCATTATGATTTCTGCCTTTCTTGAACTCTGAGTAGAATACTGTCTTATAATCGCTAAAGATCTCATTTTACATAGTCAGAAAACTAATTTTTGTTTAGCCACTAATCATAATAATGTATCACCAATTTTTTTTCAGAAAACGAGGCAAAAATAAGAAATTCAGAGAACTTTGTTTAAAAGAAGAAAAGATTTATTGCAAAGTGGTTTGTGAGTAGTGCGTACCACCTTACTCAAGGCTCTATTATGAACCCATCTGTGGCAACTCTTCATTCCCAGTGAGTAAAGACAGTAGGGGTCTATATTCTCTGAGTCCTTCATTAAACTATTGATCCCTTTAGCATTATCCATAATGTTCCAGCAGCTCAGCACGTCAACTGGTGAAGTGCTGGTCTCTCACTCCTTTCAATAACTTGCGCACTTTATGGAGAGGAAGTCATAATGATTTATTTACCTGACACTTTCCAGTCCGGATATCGTACAGGGCCACTGAACCATGGCGAGCTCCAACTGCTATTCTGTGATTCCGCTCATAATAGCTGACCATGTAGAACCTGGATTGAACATTTGAACAACAAAAAAACAGAAAAAACAGGTGAGATGACCTGCACATCAAAGTGGATAGCAACACACTTCAAAGATTAAAGCCAGCTCTGATATATATTTTTAAATAACTATATGTATATCTGTAATTAATATATTGAGATTTTTAAAAAATGTTTCATTGTAATAATTCTTAAAATCAACTGAAAGAAAAATGATGCAGAATACTGCTTAGGCCTGTTAATGATTATTTTCAATAGAAAACAACTTCTTAACTACAAACACCATTGAATTTTGAAACAAGAGATAAGGGTCACATACAAAAAAGATTAAACATGAAAACTCAGTTTTGCTTCAGTGACTATTCTGCAAATATTTCTATTTGAACAGAAATAGAAAAGATGAAAAGTCTTATATATTCCATCTAATTATGTTCTCATGGTTTATTACAGTATTAAGGAATACAAAATACTTTCCAGCAGGACAGTCATAAAAAAGCTGCATAAATATGAAGCTTAAACGTTCAAATCAATAATTTAGAATGAAATCAGAAAGTTATCCACCAAAAAGTTATCTGGCAAATTCTCTAGAATTTCCACATTTATCAGTTTATCTAAATGATAACTGTGACTATTGGTAGTATAAATAAGCATATTTGGTGATTTGGCATTGCATGAAAATAGGATTTAGGGAGGAGGCCTTGAAGGTCGTAAAAGGTTGATTTATTTTTATTTGTTTACTTTTCTAGATTAATTTTCATGATGATCAAGTATTCAAATTCCTGATCTATGCTTTGTTATGATTTAATGGCCATATGGCTAGAGCCTGGGAAGGTAAGAATAAAAATTATTAGAAGTGTAAATAAGGTATGATTTTATGTCCCCAAAGAGTTTTGAATATGCCTTCCCATTATCTAGTCCTATTGTCTCAGTGAGCATTACCCAGATAAATAAGTGGCCTACCCTCAATATTTCTGAGGATATTACATCAATTCTACTACACATTCCTTGCCATTTTTCTCTTTGATTCCCTGCTACTAATCTAAATTTTCTGCTATTATTTTTTTAAAAGACAGGATGGGGAGGCAAAACAAATGACAGAAAAGAAATATCATTTATCTAATGCTTTCTTGAGATTGATATAGAGTAAAAAAACTAGTAGGGCATAGGACTCCATTTCTGAAATTCTGGTAAGAGAGGCAGAGAGAGAGAGGGAGAGAGGGAGAGAAGATATTTGTGAGCATTTTGAAACCAGGGACAGTCTGACAAAGCCATTTTGGCATTAACAGACATTATGACATTCATACATATTTTATAAATCTGGAAAACAAGCTATTAAGTGTTTAAACTTTTTGTTTGATACTTATTACCAAGGAATGGATTCAATAATACTTCTGTCCTATCCCTAAGCCTCACTCAATGAGGCAACTTTTTTCCTCTTCAGTGGAAGACGAATGCTTCATTTCTAGTTACATGGAAGATACTACTTTAGGATGTCCTGCTGGTTTTTGCTGTGCTCAGGTATGGGATGTTCTGTTTGCATACAGGTTTGAGGGAAGGAAGGGGAGTGGAGGCTACTGACACATATGAAGCTTCCCCACTATTAAGTGGTTAGTAAAAAGTTTCTTAAAAGCTTTTCTTGTCTAAAGCATCCTATTACTGCCCTCGGTAGAAAAGGCAGGAATCAGCAATCAGCATTCAAAATGTAATGTTTCCATAGTCAAAAATAAGAGGTTTAGAAGAGTTTAAAAATGTTTACTATTACGTTATTCAATAATGACAGTGGTCTAAGTATTGGGCATCAGTATATATCTATATGTATGCCTATGTCTACATCTACATCTAAACACACATAAGCCCACACAATTTAAATCCTATTAGAGTAACATGGAATATAATAGCTAACAAATGTTTTAACAAATATCTATTCTGTGCAGGTTAATAGCCACAGGAAAATAACATTTCCAGAGGTATTTTGTTGTCAACTATTAAACTTTGCACAGACATAACAGTTGTATTGCCCAAATCCTACTGTGAAACATGAATATAATTACCCCTCAAAATAATCCTCTTCAAAACAAACCGTTGGTAAAATACATTTATGTTGACCAAAATTTTACTTAAACTCAAATCTAAAAGTTTTGTTACATTGACCATTTTCTATGCTCTGGATATCAACCTTCTATATCATCCTTCTATATTATCTACAGACACCATTATTTATGGGAGAAAAAAAAGATCAAATCTATTCTTGGTATCAAATCTTTAGTCTGCCTGAAAGGACCATATATTACAGGTCTGCATTTTTCATTCTTTGCAATTTACTACTAGGCTAATACTCCTAAAATATCTTAAAGAATTCTGGACAGTGAAGGTCTCATGGCATGTTTTTAATCTTTGGATTTCTTGTGAAACTTTTTATTTCTTTAACAGTCTCTCCTTTAACAGAGGAAATCCAAGGTATGTATGCAGTCACTTCCCAAGTATCCACTCTGGGGACTGGCTGCAGTGAGCCTAACTCTTCTGAGGGTTTCTAGAGCCCACCATGCACCCAGACTACTCTTCTCCTGAAACCACTTCTCCAATGGGGGGCTGTCAAGATTTAAGGATGGTGCAATACACATTACTTGACCCTACCCCAAAAAGTATCAATGGATTGCAGAGCAGCATCCATCCTAGTTCTTAAGACTATTCTAGTCTTGACCTGACCCCACATGGGAGTCTTGAATTCCTCCAAAATTTGGGGGGAGGGCTCTCAGAGTAAGGGTTCACCTGTGCTGAGCCTTCTGGAAATGGTATCTCAGTCTCTAGTTCACTGCATTGATAATATGCACTTGGGCAGTATTTCTTGGGCAACAACCTGCCACGAATCTTTCTGTTATACTCAAGTTACAACAATGGTTTTCCTCTATTCAGCCCACAACAAGGAAACTGTTAAGTCAGAGGAAACATTACCACTCAAGTATATGAAAGACGAATAAAGTGGAATTGAATAACGTTGCAAAATGTATTTCTTGCTGGGGCTGCGGTGGTCATCATCCAAAAATTTTGAAGTCACTGATTTCCTTGCTTTCATTACTGTCCACGTGCAGCCAGAGTGATCCTTTTCAGCCATAAATCAGATCACCTCTCCTGTGTGTTCACAACCGTCCTTCAAGATCTGGCCCTATGTGATCTGGCCCTAACACATCTCGGACTTCCTATTCCCTTTGCTCGCTCTGCTCTGGTCATACTGATCTCCTTATGCTTTCGTGAATATTCCAAGAGTGTACCCACTTTGGAGTTTAACGTTTGCTATTCCCTCTGCTTGAAAATCTCATCTGCCCGGTATCTCCAGGGCTTGTGCCCTTGCTTCATTTAGGTCTCTGTCCCAAGGTTATCTTGATAAGGAAGGCCTTTATGGGCCATCCTATTTTTAATACAGCAGCCTTTCCTCCACTACTCTTGAGTCCAATATCCTATTTTTTCTTTATTGTATTTATCATCTCTTTGATATTAAACAATAATTTTTTGTTTATTGCTTGTTTCCCTCCATCAGAGACTTTTTTGTGTATGAATACATAAACAGGGTCCAATCAAGCAGTATACAGCAGTACAAAGTTTAATGCTGTAAGAAGTCCAAATCACTATGCTTATCCTTCAGTGACTACTTTATAAACTAGGCTAAACATTTCAAGTTTTAAGACCACTGAATATTTCATAAGGTCTAAAATAATAATTGGTATAAACAACAAAGGAAATAAAAACTGTCTATAAAAGTTAGGCAGAAATCAAGAAACAGAAGGCAGCCCCATGACCCTTCTAAAAAATGTATTTTCAGTTGAGACAAACAATTGCAGATTTACAAAAAGATATCTGTAAAGGCCCTTGAAGTCTGAGTACATTGCATGAGACTGACAGTTGCATAATGGAAATTATTTAATTATGTCTTGGGGAACTAGAAAAGATTATTTGGTCTGAAACTCAAGAAGGCAAATATAGTCTAAATAATGATACATAAAATAAAGCATGTATTTTTGGTATAAATGTTCTGGGAATAAAATTATTCTAAGAATTTGCCAGGTATTTATATAGGCACACATAAATTTCACTGAACATGGTATCACAAAAAACATAATTAAAAGAAATAATCAATTATTGATCATTACTAAATAATAGAATAGGTTATTATATTTCTCCAAAGCATATTTGTGACATCAACTCCTCAGAAGTAACACACAACAGGGTGCCACCCACCCATAACTGGGCGGTTTATGATGTGAAACACAAATGTGTATTGGGTCCACTCCAGGGCAGGATCCTGGAGCAAATCACGTTGCTTAAGAGTTTGCCAAGCACCCAATACCTAAATCTAAACAACTTTGGTATTCTCTACTTATAGTCTCCCTTGAATTAATGACCTTTTTTATTTTTATTAAAAATGGCCCTCAAATAAGAGAAATTTGTGTGAAACTTAAATGTCAATTTGGAAAAATATAGGAAGAGGAAACATGCAACTCTCAACAGAGAGATGATTTAGGAGAAAGACAGAAACCTGTAAAATCACTTTCTCAACTATGACTTTGATAATATGCTATGATTTCAGGATGTTAATACTGTATATAGTGTCCTTGAACATTAAAATACAACAAGGAACACTCTTCAACTAATCCAAAATTCATCTCCAGCTAAAATGAGCCCATCTAAAATCTAAGGATGTAAGGAATAGAATGTATGAGCTATAAGTACGATTTATAACTAGTTACAAGTCACTACTACTGAGGACAAACTGTGTAACAGGCACTGTCCTGAGAACTGGTATATGTATTTCCAGGAGTAGCTGAGGTATTAGGAGCAATTCTTATCTAGTTGCTTTTACAAATTCTTGATGTTGATTTAAAATGGTTCAAAAACTTTGGACTCTTTGTTTAAAAGGTATTAAGGTAATATGCACTTGTAAAAAACCACCACTAATATGTATTAGTGTATATGTACATGTACATATTAGTGTATATGTAGTATATATGTATACA